CATAAATTTGAAGACCAAATAGTAACACCATATAAGGAGGTATTACACGAAATCGAACAAGGAGGAAGAATGCCACAAACTTGGAAGGAAGCACTGATTACGCTAATTCATAAAGCAAATACAGATGGGAAAGAAGTAAAGAATTATAGACCTATATCATTGCTTAATGTGGATTATAAAATCTACGCAACTATACTAGCCTCAAGATTAAAGAAGGTCCTAGTTGAAATAATACACCAAGATCAAACAGGATTCCTCCCTAATAGACAAATGAAAAGCAACTTAAGGACGATTATGAACGTCTTGGAATACTATGAACTACACCCGAGTGAACAACTAGCGTTGATATTTCTGGACGCAGAAAAGGCCTTTGATAGGGTAACCTGGGACTTTATGTTACAGAAATTAGCGGTTTGGGATTGTGGAGAAAACTTCTATGCAATGATTAGAGCAATATACTCAAAACAATCAGCTAAAGTAGTAGTAAATGGGGAAACGACACAAACTATTCCGATTGAAAAAGGTACAAGACAAGGGTGTCCCTTGTCACCTCTACTATTTATATTTACGCTAGAAACCCTAACAGATCTGGTAAGAGAGAATGACAAAATAATAGGCTTAAAAATACAAAAAGAAGTGTATAAGCTACAGGCTTTTGCGGACGATCTGGTATTTGTAGTTGAAGAACCGGTGAAATCAATACCAGTATTGATGGAGGTAATCGAGAGCTATGGAGAAGTTGCAGGTTTAAAAATAAACTATAACAAGACAAATATCTTAATAAAAAACTGTACGCTAAGTCAAAGTGAACAGATAGAAAAAGTGTCCCGAATGAAAACGGTCACTAAAATTAAATACCTGGGAATAACCATGTCCAGAAGGAATAATACGTTAATTGAAGACAATTATGTTAAACTAATAACGGAAATTACGAAGGATTTAACAAAATGGGGAAACCTTCAATTATCCTTTATGGGTAGAATAGCAGTCCTAAAAATGAATGTGTTACCAAGATTCCTGTTCTTAGCGCAAAATATTCCAGTACTGAGGAATATGAAAATATTCAATGAACTTGATAAAATATGTAGAAGTTTCTTATGGGCTAAGAAACCACCACGGGTTAAATGGAAAGTCTTACAAGATCGAAAAGAAAAGGGTGGATTAAATATTCCAAACTGGAAGTTGTATTACTCTGCTGCGGCAATGTCATGGATTAAAGAATGGGCCTTACTAACTAATAAAAGAGTGCTAACGCTTGAAGGTTTTGATCTGGACATGGGGTGGCATGCGTATATGGGTTACGACAAAGATAAAATACATAAAAAATTTAATCAGCATACTACCAGAGGAGCATTAAATAAAATTTGGCAGGAAATTAGAGATCAATTCTATCCTAAAACACCAAGATGGCTCTCACCCTTAGAAGCTTTTATAAAACCCTCTCTAAGGAAAAACACAATTTTGTTAACCTATGAAACATTATTAGATGAAACAAGTAAACTAAAATCCCAAGAAAGGCTTGAAAAACAAGGTATAAAATTGTCATGGTGGGAAAACATGCAATTAAAAAAATGCTTTGTGATAGACGGAAAAAGAGGTTTCTATTGTGGAAAAAATGATTTAGACAAATTATGGTTATCGTCAAGTGATAAATTAATTCAAAAGCTATACAATCTATTTTTGACTAACTATGAACTAGATGAAGAGGTCAAGAGTACAACAATTGTTTGGATGCAAGATTTAGGATATACGATAGAGGATTGGTCTAAAATATGGTTAACTGCAAAACAAATGAGAGCAATATCTTATAAGGAAAATGTGTTTAAAATGTTTCACCGGTGGCACTGGTCCCCGGATAAAATCGCCAAATGCTATAAGAATGCACCTAAAAACTGTTGGAAATGCAAGCACAATGTGGGCACCTTCTACCATATGTGGTGGAGATGTCCCAAAGCTCAACAATACTGGCAGAAGATTTATAAGATGTTGACAGAGATGTTTGAGGTAGTACTACCTTTTAAACCAGAGATGTTTCTGCTAAATATTATGCCAGGGAAGTTGAAAATGGAAGATAAATATGTAATTGCATTCATTATAACAGCAGCTCGTATTTTGTTTGCCAAAAATTGGAAACTAGAAAGGATACCATCCCAAAGAGACCTGATTCTTAAAATACAAGAAGTAGTTGAAATAGACAAACTGACCACTATACTGGGAAATAAAGATATGGAAATATTTAACGCCAGATGGGTAAAGTTTTATAAATGGATTTAACGTCAAAAAGAAAAAAGAAAAGATTGACTCTGTCCTTAAAGGAAAAGCATTTTTGGAACAGCACCCAAAATTTAAGGGGGAAAAAAAAAAAAAAAAAAAAAAAAAAAAAAAAAAAAAAAAAAAAAAAAAAAAGAATAGCACAGGAGCCAGTTTGGTGTAGTGGTTAAGTGCGCGGACTCTAATCTGGGGAAACCGGGTTTGATTCCCCACTCCTCCACTTGCACCTGGCTGGATGACCTTGGGCAAGCCATAACTCCGGCACAGCTGTTCTTGAAAAAGAGCAGTTTCTGTCAAGAGTTCTCTCAGCCCCACCTACCTCACAGGGTGTCTATTGTGGGAAGTTAAAGGAGTTTGTAAGCCGCTCTGAGACACCTTTGGGTAGTGAAGGGCGGGGTACAAATCCAATCTCTTCTCTCTTCTTCTTCTTGTCAGGTACATATATTCAGTATATTCAGTATAACAATAACATTCAGTTCATACAATTTCACAATGCACTTAGTTATAAACAGAACACACATCTATCTCTCTCTCTCTCTCTCTCTCTCTCTCTCTATCTAATCTATCACCGCTCAAGCAGAAATTAGGACCAAAAAATCATTTTAAAAGACCTTACTCAGTAGCCCCGTAGCCAGAAATTTTGGGTTGGTGGGGCATGGGTAAATTTTGTGGGGTAGCAGGGGAGGGAGACCACATGCCTCCCCTGAACTCCAAGCGGTGATTTTGCCACTTGGGAGTTCAGGGAAGGCGTGCGGCCAGCAGCCGCCCCTCTCCCTCACCTCCTGCAAGATTTAAAGGGCCCGCTGACCAGCTGGAGGGCCCTTTAAATATTGGAGGAGGGGAGGGAGAGGGGCAGCTGCAAGGCTTAAAGGGCCCTCCAGCTGAGCGGTGGGCCATGTGCTCCCACTGATCAGCAGGAGGGCCCTTTTAGTGTCACAGGAGGGGAGGGAGGGGGGAGAGGGGCAGCAGCTGTTGTGGGGAATGCCTCACGTTTGAGGGGGCGGGCCCCCACAATGCCCCACTATAGCTGCGAGCCTGCTCAGTATCTCTCTTATATTTGATTATTGTGCCTACGAATTTTGCCACTGAGAGGGTGACACGATACATTTGTTCCGTGGTTATTGGTAGCCTAATAGAGACTTTGAGCTTGCTTGCCCTCTATCCAACAAAAGATTCCCTAAACTACACATTCTGATGCCCTTAGCTGGTGAGAGGGTTTTCCAAGCTAGCCAGGCTGTGGAAGTGGAAAGAGTTTAACTTCCCCAAATTGGTTGTGGTTCTGGGTGAGTGATCCAAGTTAGAAAGTCCCCCACATGTCTAAGGATACATGTGAAAGCAAGTACACATAGTAGCAAATGTAAGCTGGTTTGTATCCCCATTGGGGAGAAAGGGAGAGTATATGAAGGAAGAAGAAGACAAAGGAGGAGGAGACTGGATTTATACCCCGCCCTTCACTTGGAGTCTCGGAGCGGCTTACGAACTCCTTTCCCTTCCCCTTCCCACAATGGAAACCCTGTGAGGTAGGTGGGACTGAGAGAGCTCTGACAGAAAATGCCCTTTCAGGAACAGCTCTGCCAGAACTATGGCTTGCCCAAGGTCATCCAGCAGCTGCAAGTGGAGGAGTGGGGAATCAAACCCGGTTCTCCCAGATTAGACTCTGCGCACTTAACCACTTAACCAAACTAGCTCCCAACTATGTAATTTACTTAAGTAGCAGCAAAGTTCCAAAAACAAAAGAAATGTAATACCTTTCATAAGGTCCAAGCAGAATACCACAAAACAGTCTCCATGCTTTCACCGTCTACAGAACTCTTCATCAAGTTGGATCTCACAAAAAGGGGGGTGGATGGGGGAAAATAACATATTTCAGGGCGTGGTGGGAAGGCCAGAGTCTGTTGCTTCTACTCTTAAAATAGAATTCAGGATGAGCTGCAGAGTTAATTGGATTAGATAGTGCTGGGTGGAAACAGGTTTTTGAGTTGCACAAAGATAGGTGGAACACAAAGATGGCCAAAAGAAGCATTCTCCCTTTATGAATCTAAGAGACGGCACTTAATCCAAACGGTTTTGAAAATGTATGAGCTAGTTCAGCCATTTCTTACAGGAGCTCTGTCACATCCTCAAAAGTTAGAACTCACTCGTTTGAAAGCTCTTCCCTGTTAATTTCAATGGGACAAAACAGATCTCTGTGGGACTGCCTGTCTATATACGATCTGCTCTTTGTGGGTCAGCAATCACAGATCAGCTCTATATATCGTTAGAAAGATCAGAATACACATGGAATTCTTATTGGTTCAGCAAATTAAAATGAAAGGTTTGTTTCTATGGGAAATGAATAGAAAAAGCTGAGGCAACATAAATAGATGCTTTGGGGGACAGTAATATCAATTAGACACTGTGGAGGATTCTAGGCTTCTCCAGAAACAAAACAGATCTTAGAAACATGCTAAATTAAAATATCTACCATACTCAGTAATGCAGTAATCGGCTAACTTGCAAACAAATGTGAATACTTCTGTATGATTTTGTATTTTTTTAAAAAAAATTGTTTATTTGAAACTGAAGTATTTTCCCGCCTTAAAAAAACCCCAAGCTAAAAGATCTCAAAATTATTAATAAGAATTACTAGGAGTTAAATTAAATGGACATTTCATATTATATTTCTGTAAATATTAATAAATCAAATGACAATTAAATGGACAAATTGCTTTAGCAATATAAAGTGGAAAACATGGTAATGCTAATTTATTGCATATTCATAATACCAAACAGTAATGAAAACACATTCATTTCAATATCTGTGACATCTTTTTCTTCTTTTGTTTCACATTTGCAGGTTTTATTTTCTTGGAGGCTTCTTGGCCATCTCTCTCTGCTGTCTTACCACTGTCGGTCCTGCATATTTTCTTAACCGGTGGTTCTTCACTTACTGGGGAAAAATTACATTATTAATGGCTAAAGTTAGATGCGTAATATATCAACTGTTCTATCTGATGTGGAAAACTTCATTCCTCTTATATTACAAAATAGGATTTATTTTTAAAAGCTTATTTCCATTGTTTATTTTATTGCACTTATTTATTTATTTATTATTTCACATTTATTAATTTGATTTTTATCCCCCTCTCCCTGCTGAGGCCGGCTCAGGGCGGCTTACAATAAAAGGTTAAAATATATTAAAACACACGTGCTTATACAATACAGCATCATAAAACACAAAGCCTACTAAATCACAGTACAAAATAGAATAAAGTGCTGGTGGCGGGATATTTCAGCTCACCTTGTTACTTATTTCAGCTCACCTTGTTACATTTGTCTAAATCAAAACTTAAATATATCATAATCAGTTTGTGTACTTCTTATCTCTGTAAAGTTCATCAGCTGTACTTATTTAGTCAGGGCAGAAGATCACCCATCCCAGAAAATAATGCAGTCTCTATTTTATTCCTGAAAGGAAACAGTTCCTTTCTCCTTTTATACCGCAAATATGGTTAATTTGGAATCTGGTTAAGAAAGATCTTTTAAAACATCTCCACGATGTGTTACATACAACTGAAAGTTAACAGACCTCTCAAGAAAATTTTATGGTACCTTGAGATGAAGATCCTTTGGCATCATCAGAGGTTTGTTTAGTTTCCAGATTGCTTTTGAGCCACACTGCAAGACAAGTGAGCCTGGCTTTGGTATTGACTTCACATAGCAATGATGGAGAAGTCTTAATCTGGAAAAAAAAACATTACAGATAAGTAATCATGTTTTTTCTGCAGCGCAGAATACCGCAAAAACCTCTGTGCCACGTTATCTGTTTGCCATGTGTATTGTCTTCTTCTCACTACATTGTTACCTACCTATGTAATTCAACATTTTGGCATTGTTAACATATGATGCCTTATGCTTTTTTTGAGATTTCTGTAATCCTAGTCTTATTTGTTTATTTTATGTCATATTCTTTTGATAGCACTGACTTCCATTGCATAAATCATATTGAGTCTCGGGGAGAAAAGCGGACTACAAATAATGCAAATAAAATCAATAAAGTAATAAAGTTTAAGGATTGGAATAGAAGTGATGCTGGAAGATCCACGGTCAGATCTTTAAATTAAACTGTTAAGGAACACCAATTTTGCCCCCATCTTAAAAGGCAAAACATCACAAATCAATAATCGCAAATAATTCAATGGAGAAATATAGGCACCCATGTTTAGTAGGAAAATCCTATTGATGTAAGTGGGTTCACCCCCAAAACAGCATGCATCAAAGTGCCACTGAAACTGCTTAATAAGACCAGGAGCTCTTCTTAGAATGAAGTAGTGTCCCATGGATGATGCACTTAGGTCGCTAATATACCAACCTTGTCAGGATCAATGCTCCACATCTTAATGTATCCGTCACTCGACGCAGTCACCAGAATGTGTAAGTCTTCCCTTTTAAAACTGTAGATATCTTTTATTCTACGGCATAATGAAGGACATTTAATACTCCATAAGACAAGAGTAAGAATTTCAAAAAACATCATCAAGAGGTAAAAGAACGTGTCAATATTCCTGTTATGGTTTCAAAATAGTGGTTTGGTGACTTGATATAGGCCCCGACCTGGATGGCCCGGGCCAATCTCGTTAGCTCTCAGAAGCTAATCAGGGTCAGCCCGGGTTAGTATTTGGGTGGGAGACCTCCAAGGAATACCAGAGTCTTGATGTGGAGGCAGGCAGTGGCAAGCCACCTCTGAATGCCTCTTGCCTTGATAATCCGAAGGGGATCTCCATAAGTCGGCTGTGATTGGATGGCACTTTCCTCCACCACCAAATTGGCACAATAGTTTATAGGTAATATACATGCTATATTTTATACACTAAATAGGAACAAAAGATACAGTTAACCATGTTTCCATACTGATTTAAAATGAAAACACAAGCTTTTCCTTATTAAAAGTTCTCTCATTGAACAAGGGCCCAAAGAAAATTTAAGTCAGGGGTGTCGAACCCATTTGTTATGAGGGCCAGCTCTGACACAAACGAGACCTTGTTGGGCAGGGCCATGTGCGTCATAAAATGTAATGCCAGGTAGCGGAGATAGAAACTTTATATAAAGGACACAGACCACAAAGATATTTTTTTAACTTAAAATAAAAACATGCTTAAAACATTGGCTCTGTAAGCTGCAAACCTACTTTTGATGGATTGACATTCACCACAGAAATCTCATGCTCAGAGTTCTGCATCTAGGACCCAGGTTAAAACATGAAATGGCTGAGTGATTAAGAGAGTCTGGCGAAGCAAGCTATGATGCAGCAGCAGCAGCAGAACTGGAAGCAGGAGATGGCCAGTTCCACTGCGGGCCTGATGGAAGCCCTCTAGGGGCCTGAAGCGGCCCCCGGGCTGCATGTTTGACACCCCTGATTTAAGTGGTTATTTAAAACATTAAGCCAAAACATACCTAACGCCCTGCCCATTCTATGGTAAATAGAAAGTACCTGTTTTCGTGAGCTTTAAATTCACAAAGACATTCCTGTGATTCACAGTCAAAGAACCGTACAAATTCTTCATCTCCAGCAATGGCAAGTATGCAATCCTTTAAGAAAGGGTAATGAAGAAAATAAGTCAGAGACGAAAGGGTATTTATTCTTAATGTTTTTGCTATTTCACCATTGTTCTGTACTTACTGTAATAAATCTTACTGAAGACACTCTCCTTTCTGTAACGATGGTGCCAGAGACAGAAGCAGTTGCAAGTTGGTATATATCCACTTTATTTGCTGTAACCACCACATATGATTCTCCATTGGGTGACCATTTAACAAGATGAGCATCTAAGTTATCGAGGGGGAAATGAGATTGGATTTGTCAGTGGAAGATTTTAAAGTAAGAACAAAACAAACACTTACTACAGAGGCGAGCGGATAGTCTGAATGTTGGCTGCTATTTGGCATGATGTGTGAACCAGGCAAACTATGACACAAAACAGTTTGCCAAGTTTGCATTCAATAGCTAACAAATAGTTTATTGACAGAAAGTAAGGGATGGAATCCAACCATATGAAGGGGAGAAAGAAGGAACAAGGGTATGTGTGAACCTGCCATGGGTTGGAGGATCCGGAACACCAGGTCAGAACCAACCTTATGTTAACACATTTTTAATATATATATTAGGATTTTATATGGCAATGCAAAAGGCAATGGTTCCCCAGGGATTCTATATATACATTGGCTTGGATCCAGAGACACACAATTGGAAACAAACCAGGACTTAATGTAGTTCTACTTGTGCACTAACTTGTGGAACACCAAGTGCTTTCTTCCTTATATATTATAGGGCCCATAAATTGGTTGCATGACATAAATGGGCACGTCTTGCAATGAAGGGAAGTGAGTGGTGGGGTCCCGCAAGGATCAGTACTGGGGCCAGGGCAACCAAAATGATTAAGGTGGCTGGAGCACTTTTCCTATAAGAAAAGGCTGAAGGGTTTGGGACTTTTCAGTGAAGAAGTTACGCCTACACCTAAGATGTTTATAAAATTATACACAGGGTAGAATGAGTGGACAGAGAAAACTTTTTCTCCATCTCCCCAAATATCTCCCCAAATACTCGAAATCAAGGGCATTCAATGACATTGCTATTCAGGACAGACTAAAGGAAATACTTCTTCATGTGAGCGGTTAAAATGTGGGATTCACTGTCAGAGGTCATAGGCATAAATGACTTTAAAAGAGGATTAGGCAGATTCATGAAGGATCGGTCTCTCAGTGGTTACTAGCCATGGTGACTAAAGGGAACCTCCACAATCAGAGACAGGAAACCTTAGAATATCAGTACCAGGAGGTAACATCAAGGGAAGTCCTCCACCTCTGTGATTTGTTATTGGTCCTCCAGAGTAACTTGCTGAGCATTGTATGAGACAACATACTGGACTAGATGGACCAGCCAAGCTCTTATCTTGTGCAAGCAGAATGCAAGTGGGGATACAATGTTTGACCGCTACTGTGAAGTTTTGTTGTAAGACTGAATTATCAATATTTACCAGCCACCTTCCATGTAAATGAAGATTATATGCTGTTAGCCAAATTGCCTTACTCTATTAATAAGCTTGGGGGAATTATGAATATCAAATGGAAATAGGCATAAAATATGGAATCATAACCTGTGTGTATGGGAGTCAGAATTCCCAGAGCCCGTGAACAGATGACTGTGTTGCTAAAATAATGATTTCTTTACTTAATATTCTTCAAGCATACAAACAATAATCAAGCATTCATACAAACAATACAGAGCTAGGAATACAGAGTTGAAACGATAGTGACGTTCGCATGAGCACGAATATCGCTGACAGGTAATACGTTACCTGTCCAACGAGAGGCTTGTATGTGACCAGTGACGCATGTGGACTGATAATGCCATCTGAAGTGGCTGCATGGCAACAATGCAGCCGGTGAATACATTTGATCTCGGCTTTCATTTTAAAAGAATATTTTTTTTCACTTCTGATTGCAGTTTTTGTGGGGGTTGTTTTGCTCTCTCTTAATTAAACTTTCTGCCTAGAGCACATTCGTCACAAATGAGGCCACTGGAGAAGCATACAGTTGCCAGGAACACCCTGAACAGAAGCACCAGTCCTAGCTGTAATGGGTGGAAGAAATATGAGATGCCTCTGCAGGTGACTGCCTGGCACAGTGCCAAGAGACGTAGCAACAGGTTGGGCGTGGGAGACCAGGGACAACAAAGGATTTAATCAGAGACTGGTGGAGGCTTTGTGCAGGATTCAGAAGAGAAGAATCGTTTAGGAATAAAATGGTATTTCAGCCAGGAATATTGACAAATCAGAAGGCTAATTATTTACAACAGCATTTTACTGAACATGCTGGCATTAATAAAGAGTGGTAAACTTTTGAACCAGGCATTTTCACTGTTTGCATCTGGATTACAAATATAACAACAATAATTGTGGTCTCTCACTTACTGATGTGACAGACAGACTTCTACAATGTATCCTTTGTTTTCTATTGTGGTGTGTACTGAAATGTGGTGCATGCTGAAATAATATCAATATTTTGATCAATATGGCAAAGCAAACGCAATGCACTTACTTTGTTTTAGATTTTTTACGAAAGCCGATCTTCCTTCTACAAGGTTCCATGTTCTAAAAAAAAAAAGAGGCCAAACAGACATCCTTTGAAGTGGAAATAAGAGCCTAATTCCTTAAAGATCAATGATTTAAGAAATAGGGGCTGTGGCTACCATTTAGGCTTCTGAAAATCCGAAGAATTCCAAGAGCTGGGGGGAAAAAACCTAAAATTGTATATATTTTTTTAAAATAGTGGACTCCTCCCCCCCGCCCAGTCAGTCACAATGTTTGCATAGGTAGGTAAAGATTTCCCTTGCTCGAAAGCCAGTCAAACCCGACTCTAGGGATGCTGTGCTCATCTCCATTTCCAAGCCAAGGAGCCAGCGCTGTCCAAAGACATTTCCGTGGTCATGTGGCTGGCATGACTAGACACCGAGGTGCACAGAACGCTGCTACCTTCACACCGAAGCAGTACCTATTTATCTACTTGCAATTTCTTGCTTTCAAATTGCTAGGTTGGAAGGAGCTGGGGCCAGAGACAGGAGCTCACTCCGTCATGCAGCATACTCGGGTCTCGAACTGCTGAACTACCGACCTTCTGGTCTGCAGTTCAGTGTCTTAACCACTTGAGCCACCGCAGCCCCATACATTTGCATAGGTACAGACATTAAAAAGCAACTTGGCTGAGGTTCAGCTGGCATTTTGGGTTATTTGTACCAGCCACAGTGCACGTCAACGCCTGTGCCTGGAGGTCTGCTGTGGGGCTTTGGAAGTGGGCAGGACAAAGAGAAGGACGCAGAAATGGTGATGGGCGGGGTGGGGTGGGGGCAAGCCAGAGGAATGGGGAAGAATGAAATCCAGATTCCTCCCTCCCCTCAAAGACAACAGCAGAAGAAATGCCTAGAAGATGCTGTCCTTGTTCTTCAGACTTTGCCGTGTTTGTTCTTCACCTCTGCCCAAAATATCCCCCGTGGTGTTAATGTCCTGGTTTTGCAAAGTAGAAAGAGCGGATTGTCACGGTGGTATTTTCTTTCTGATTATGCGATGGCACAGTGCCGCGACCTCTGAAAAGCCACCTTCTCTTAAAAGCTGTTTTGTCCATGGTTTCTCTGTAGCAAAATTCAAGGTTTCATTTTGAATTTTGCAACCACGGACTTTAACCGCCCTAGCTGGATAACATATGGCAACCAGTGTTCCCTCTAAGCTGAGTTAATGAGAGCTAGCTCACAGTTTTTTAGCCTCTAGCTCACACATTTTTGTCTCAGCTCAGGAAGGATGGCTCCAGAGCAAACTAATTTATGCAGTAGCCAAATCACTCGCTCACAACTTTATTGCCAGTAGCTCACAAAGTAGAATTTTTGCTCACAAGACTCCACAGCTTAGAGGGAACATTGAGCAACGTGCTTTATACAAGCTGTGTTTTTAATCACAGTACTTAGAATGAATCCTTTTTTGGGGGGGGGAAATGGGTGAACATTCATGAGTTGCGCTGGCACTGGACAGGGAAGACCACTGCCCAAAGTCTAGCCGCAGTGCATGTCCACTGAGCAACCATCTTCTGAATGCCCGGCTGTCACCATCTACAGTAGGTAGGGTTGCCAGATCCCCTGGTACCACAGGGTTTTCCCGATTTGGGGCGGGCTCTGGGCAGATCAGGAGAAAGCATGCATGTAAATGAACATGCATATTCTGCCTTTGCTAACCGGGGATACAGGGGAAGATAGGGCAGACAGAGACGGACATGCATGGTTATGAAACAAATGTAAAAGGAGAAAGCAAAGAACATTCCAAGCTGGGATTGCTCCAAAGAACTGGCCTGGAAGAAATTCATGATGTTTAAATGGCCACCTGTTATGAATAGACTCTGTAGTCACGCCTTCGCAATTACTACTTTATTTAGCCAATTAAATTAAGATCACAAGGAACCATAATTTCTTCCAATTAAATATATCATACTGTACTGTAATGCTTTCTGAAGAAAATGGAAGACAATGTTTTAAAGTGATTTTCTGTTCATTACTTTGGGGATTTAGAAGCACCAGTAAGTATTACTTCCGAATGTTTACAGGCTTTAGACTTACCGTAATGTCTTGTCTGTTCCTACTGACAAAGCCAACTTTCCAGAAGGATGAACAGAAAGAGATGTTGCGTGTCCCCTAACAAAAAGGGAAACCTTAGCCATCATCAGCAATTCCCACGGACACATAAACAACATGTTCATTCACAGTAAGAAATTCCCTCTCCAGGAAGGTTCGTCGGTCTCCCTCTATTGTTCTCTTCTCTCAGTGGCAGAAGACTTTCTTTGTTTAGTCTAGGGCAGAGGTGTCAAAATAATTTTTTACAAGGGCCGGATCTGACTTAAATGTCACCTTGTTGAGCCGGGCCATGTCTGCCATAAAATGTAACACAAGGTACCTGGAGCGATAAACTTTATAAAGGACACCAGCAAACCCCCAATTAACAATATTATTTTTTTTACTCAAAATACAAACAAAAGTAATTGATTCCTCAAAGTGAAAGCAATTGATTTACTGGGGAACCCACAAAAGCCCCAATAAATGTATTTAACCATATGCAAGACTAGTTTCCCCCCCCCCAAAGGGATACTATAAAAAGGGAAGTACCTTACATTTCCACACATACCAGTTGCTTGAGGGCCGAGTAAGACCCCTGGATGGGCTGGTTCTGGCCCCCGGGCCTAATATTTGACACCCCTGGTCTAGGGTTTCCTCAGTGATACTCATTAACCCTTCCGCCTATTCATGTATTTTGTTTTGAATTTTGTATCTCTCTGTGTGTGTGTATCTTGTTTTAATTGTTTGCTGCCTGGGGACCCTAAGTTGGGTGGAGAGGAGGATTAAAAGTGTTTCATCATCACAATAAGTAAACTTATTTGTACATTGTGAATGCTATTATGTATTTTGTAGATTTTTATTCTGCCCTTCTTCCAAGAAGCTCAGGGTGATGTACATCATTTCCCCCTCCTCAAACAACCCAATGAGATAGTTTAGGATGACAAACAGTGGCCCAAATCGCCACTTCCATGGCACAGTGGCAATCTGAAATGGCATCTCTGAGATCCTAGTTCAATTATTTTATTTTTACAATTGTTTCATGATGCTTATTATTATCATTAGACATGCTTACAGCGTATTTCAAAAAGTGCTGTAGATATAATAATGTGGGGTTTAAAAAAAGAAAAAAGAAAACAGCACTTACTTGTGTGCTTTAATTGATTTCAGGCATTCCCAGTTTTTGGTGTTCCAAATGCATATTAAGCCATCCTCAGCGCCACTCAGTAAGTGTGTCCTGCCATAGAATTCCAAGCAGCTGATGGTGCCTGAAGATCAAACCATCAACTCTATTTAATACACTGCAGACATTTCAAAGATAAATACACCAGATACTTCCAAAATGCTTACTTAAAGCCAACGGCAGGTTATGTATTTATGTATGTACGTATGTGCAAATGTGCATACACACACTATAAACTAACTTTTGGAAAACTTGATTCTTAGACGTTCACAAATTCTAAATATTGCTTATGTTAATTTCACTGGAGCCCATGGAGTTTATTTCTGAGTATTTTATTAAGAATTGGAAATAAATAATTGAAATGAATAAGGAAATTGTATGTGCTGAATTACAGCCAACACACTGGCTGTTGCTGTATGCATGGTCCTGCGATGTAATTTCTGCAGCGTTTAATGCATCACGTTAATGCTCATGCTTTGCTTCAGCTCAGTTTCAGATTCCTACTTGATTTCAGATTCAAATTCTACCACACAGCCTCTTGGATGTCCCATCCTGTTGACTGTATTGACTTACACCCAGGGCTTTTTTTGTAGAAAAATCCCAGCAGGAACTCATTAGCATAATAGGCCACACTAGGGATGTGCATTCGGTTCGTCTGAACCGAATGCACCCCCGAAAATGGCCCATTTGGGCCCCTTTCGGGCTGCTGCGGGCTGAATCAGATTATCTAATCTGAATCGGCTTGCCCGGCCCCATTATATTCTATGGGCCATTGAAGTCAATGGCAAAAACATAGGGTATATTCTGGGGGCTGGAGGGGAGTGGGTTTGAGGGAGAGGCTCCAAACTCGCTTGGTAGCTGCTGGAGCCTCTCCCCAAGATACCCACCATGTTTCAAGAACACTGGACCAGGGGGTTCAATTCTATGGGCCTCCAAACAGGTTGCCCCCATCCACTCCATTGTTCTCTATGGTGGGGAAAAGTAACTTTCCCCCCACTATCGGGCCGGATTTTTTTTTGCACGCCCCTAGGCCACACCCAATAGCAGAAACTCATTAGTATATCAGGCCACACCTCTGACAGCGCAGCTCATTAGCCTATTAGGCCACACCCCTGCCTTTTCTTGGCTTGCCTGGGTGCTCCATGGTTGCGGGGCGCCCGGGCAAGCCAACCCTTGGACAGGCCGGGGAAGGCACAGGGAGGCACCGGGGTGTGTGTGTGTGTGTCGCTCTCCAGGCCTTCCCTCTGTAGCCACACACACGTAGAGGTTTTGGCTGTAATGGGTGTGGCCAACTCTGAAGCCAGCCAGAACTCCGTTCCTGTGCGTTCCTGCCCAAAAATAGCCCTGCTTACACGGTATAGTCTGCCTTGAGCTTCACTGTGAGAGGCGGACTATAAATAAAGTAAATGAATGAATGAAAACCAGGGCTCCACAGTGTGCACACAAAAGCTCCAGTCCCAGCTGGCTCCTGCATTCACTTTCATGGGAATTATTATTATTATTATTTTCGTTTATAGTCTGCCCTTCTCACTGTTGACTCAAGGCAGATGACAAGTATGATTACAAAATATGATTTGGACCTAGGGTCGTGAGGTCCCTCTGAGACACCAACAGGGGGACGGGGAGGACACTCCGGGAGCCGGAAGTGTTGCCCTCAACATGCTGACGTCACCAGAAGTGATGTAGGCACGTCGGGGGCAACGCTCTGGTTTTTGGGCAGAACTCTGGTAAAATCACCCTCAAACCATAGAGTTTTGGCATAAAACAGAGTGGCACGCCCCGCCCCTCACGTGCTTACGTCACTTCCAGGTGATGTAGGCATGTTGCTCCATGTTGTTGGGGGGGGGGGTTCCTCCTGCAGGCCAACTGGTCAGGGGCAGACAAAAGCCCACAAAACCAATCCCCCGCCCCCAACTGGGGACTGGCAACCCTATTTGAACCTAACAGCCAAGAGCCTTAGTAAGACAAAATAATGCAGCTGAGTTGGGAAAGAACAGTCCCCTTCTACATTGAAATCAATGGAAAAGTCAGAGGTGTTTCAAATGCACACTGGTGCTTCCATATATACAATAAGCCTCCGGATCAGGGCCAGCATTTTGTAGCCTGTGAAATCCTGCTGGGAACCAGCACTCACGGACACATTTCATTCCCATCACATGCCACTAATTCAAGAAGTACAACTTCCTCACCATTGTGTTGCAGCAAGGCCCCGTGTTCTACTCTGTTCTTCATGTCGTAGATTTGTATCGTTTCATCCCTGCTGCCCGTGACGACATATCTGTCATTCACAGCAACCGCTGACAATGAAGCACTGTGGGCGTGGTGGGTGAAATCAGGAGCGACTGCCCAGTTCTGAAAATGAAACATAAAACAAACCTTTCACAATATTTTTATGGATTCCCTTATAACTTTGCAAGGGCGTGGCTGGCTCAGCACTCAGCTCTGGCCAGGAACAACAGTGTAGGCTGGGGGTCCCCAACCTTTTTGAGCCTGCACCCACCTTTGGAATTCTAACAGAGTGTGGTTGGCACAACCACAAAATGGCTGCCACAAAATAGGTGCCACAGGATTCGGAGGCAGCCACAAAATGGCTGCCACCGCTTATCTTCAGTCACACAGTGACAAGTCCTGTGCTGCGGTGGCAGCTCCTGCCAAAGCAATGTTTTTAAACATCTCCACAGCCCATCAAATCTCCAATGGTTCATCATAAAACTTGTTAGGAAAAAGCCCCACCTAGGGTTGCCAGGTACTTACTACGTTCTGGTAGGGGGCTCCTGTCTTCTTCCTGGGCTCTTCTGACGTGTGCCTGACATGCCTGAGGTGATGATGTCACCCAGAAGTGATGTCATCACACGGGGCACGTCACGCAGGGGACGCTCTAGCATTTTTGGGAGGGGGACTCTCTGGTTACCATAGAGTTCTTCCCCAAATGCTAGAGCATCCCCCACACAACATGCTTTACATAATGAAATCAGCTATGCGCTGGGTACACTGGGCACGGATGGGGCTGCTCAGGGGCAGGGCTCCCCCTGCCAGTCTGCTGGGCAGGAGTGGACTGGGCCCCCCGAAAGTGGGGGAGAACCCCGCCCCCATTGGGGGGGATGGCAACCCTAGCCCCACCTGGTCCTGTCCACTTTCTAGGAACATGTGGCGGGTGCCAGGAAAGGTTCTGGTGGGCATCAGGGCACCCACTGGCACCATGTTGGGGACCCATGGTATAGAGACTTTGCCCGCTGTGTCCCATGCTAGCCATCAGCAAGCCAGACCTGGCAGCACTGCAAGCGATGGCTCAGTTCAGACTCAGCCACAGTAGCACGGGTCTGGGCTGGGAGCCAGCTAAGCCCCTGGGAAGGAGCCAGGCCACAGTGAGGGAAGGGTATTCTTCGGGGCTTTTTTTTGTAGAAAAAGCCCAGCAGGAACTCATTAGCATAATAGGCCACACCCAACAGCAGAAACTCATTAGCATATTAGGCCACACCCCCGACAGCACAGCTCATTGTCATATTAGGCCACATCCCCATGTTACCAGAAGTGTGCTCATCCAGCCACACCCACCTTTTGCTTCTTATTCTGTTTACCTTGTTTGTTGCCAAAACCCAGGGCTTTTTTGTAGCAGGAACTCCTTTGCATGTTAGGCCACACACCCCTAATGTAGCCAATCCTAATGCGTTTCTGCTGTTGGGTGTGGCCTACTATGCTAATGAGTTCTTGCTGGGCGTGGCCAACTTGGAAGCCAACCGGAACTCCGTTCCTGTGCGTTCCTGCCCAAAAATAGCCCTGGTCTTTATTTCAAATAATCTGATGACCCAACAATCCTGGACAACGTAAAATACACTAATACACCAATACTGCCCTCTAATTGCACTCTGATGTTGAAGGTGTTGCAGCCAAAAATCTTGCCATGACCAGCGTTATGCCAAAACCAGTACCAGCTAGCAAAACAAAGCCAGATAAGCAGAAGCACCAGAAGCAACCATTGGCTGAACCCAGAAATCTCTCAAGAGGGCCACTGGCATGCAGTCAAAGGAGATTATGAGTCAACATTTCAATTGTGCCAGATCCATAAGGACACAGTTTATCTGAAAAAGCCACTCCTCGGAATCTAACCAGGAAACCTAACCGAAAGAAAAACCTTCTGATATTTAGGGACAGTCAATTGATAAGAACAAGAGTAAAGTGGGAGCTGCGGTGGCTCAAGTGGCTAAGACGCTGAACTGCAGGCTGTGGAAGGTCAGTAGTTCAGCAGTTCGAGACCCGAGTGTGCCGCATGATGGAGTGAGCTCCCATCTCTAGTTCCAGCTCCTGCCAACCTAGCAGTTCGAAAGCAAGAAATTGCAAGTAGATAAATAGGTACCACTTCGGTGGGAAGGTAACAGCGTTCCGTGCGCCTTGGTGTTTAGTCATGCCGGCCACAGGACCACGGAAACATCTTCGGACAGCGCTGGCTCTTCGGCTTTGAAACGGAGATGAGCACCGCAACCCTAGAGTCGGATTCAAGTGGCTTTCGAGCAAGGGTACCTTTACCTTTACTTTACTGAAGTGTAGAAGGAGGCATAATACCAAAAAAATAACATACAGCAGACTCTAGGAGCCCTAGCAAGGCCTTCAGCTGCTCTATCAAAATACAGTCTTACAGCCAGTGGGCCAACGGATAGCAGGTGACAGCCCCAAAAGATGAAGTTTAGGGTCGAGACTGAGCCTCCGTACTGAAACACAGCAATCAGAATATACACAAAGGAAAGGAAACCGGGAAGCTTTCCTAGAAAACAGAACCTTCCAAGTTTGGCATTCCAGTGATCCAAGACCCAACTCCGGATGAAGGACCACAGAAGCTAATCAATGGGGGAACTCCATTAGGTTTCCTGAAGAAAAGCTTCAAGAGATGGATCAACAGAGCTATCGACTCCCATAATCCCAAAAGGAGCCACCCTATATGAAAGCTGTGACAATACTTTGGTCCTAGAAACTTAAGACTGCTACAGGAACAGACTGGGCCCCAGAATAAAAAAAGAAAAGAAATGACAAATAGTTGCTGAGGAACTAAACTGCAGAGAGGCAGGATCACAGTCTTTATGAGCCTTCCGTAAGAGGGACGCTTCATAGAGAATGGCTGATTGTTTAGCTTCCATGACAACTACTTAATCTGAGGGGATCCCAGGAAAAAAACAACATAACTTTAGATTTTTCACAATTGATTACCAACCCCCCCCACCCCCCACCCCAAAAAAACCACAATAATTCTGAAATGCCTTCAGCAGCCTATGGGGAATCTGGACAAAATAACAGCATCGTCCACATACAGTAATATTGGAATCTGACAGGTAGCTAGATCGGGGGCGTGAGGGAGGGTTCACCACTGATAGTATCCCAACTGAGGCCAAGTGAGAGAGGGGAAATGCACCAGCTCTACCTTCTCATCTCCTTTTCCCACTACCGGGAGGAAAAGGCACAGAGGCTCAGTCTCCAGAAGTTTAAGCCTCTGGAATCATCACGGCCCATGTTTACTTCTACTCCGCTTTTCTCCCCAATGGGGACCCAAAGAAACTTACGACAGCCTCTTTCACTCCTCCGTTTTTCCTCAGCACCAGCATTCCCCGTGTGATAGGTTAGGCTGAGAGTGTGACTACCCTAAAATCACCCAGTGACTGTTCGTGGCAACAGGGGGATTTGAGCCTGTGTCTCCCAGAGGGTAGTCCGCCCCTAGTAATCACTATACCACACTGGCTCTCTTTGGATCATAACTGTTGTACAGGACAGCCAAGAAAAACCAAACTGTTGTGCACTAGAATGGGGATTGCTTTATTTTCTGCAGCAAAGATCAACAGTTCAAGATGGTGGTTAATCCATCTTACATGTGACCCATGACAAAGCTGCACCTGGTTTCCCCTTTCTCTAAAAGTGCTTCTCTGTAGTACACTGGGTTGCCAGCTATTTATTTATTTATTTATGCATGCATGCATGCTTTCGGCTTGTATCCCACTCGAACCCCAAGGGGTCTCTGAGCGGCTTACAGTTACTCTTTATCCCTATCTATGGCCACACATCGTCAGGGGTGGGGACTGCCCTACCGGCACCCAGTGGAGGGACCTGCTGTTCTTTTTTCGGTTCGGCTTATTGTCGGCTCGGCTTTTTTCGCTTTGGCTCCTCTTCTTCTCCTTCCGGTGGTCTTCGGCATCGGCTGTATTCGGCGGACCCATCTGGCACGTGGTTCGCATCAGCACGGCTCCGGCTCTGTCCGTTTGGTTCCGCCGTGCCTGTGCCTCTACGTCCTTTGCGTCTTCTGGCTCCGCCTCCGCCTGATCCACCGCAGGTGTTGCGCCTCCTTGCCGCCAATTGTCGCCACCACCGCTTGTCATTCCGCCGTTGCTGCTCCATCAGACCCCACAACGGAGGAGGGTGCCCCCTGCCATCTAGGGCAGGTACCCATTTATCTACTCACTTTTTCGATGTTATTTTTGCTTTCGAACCGCTGGATGGGCGGGAGCTGACTAGGGCCAGGAGCTCACCCTGGCCGCGGTGGGTTTCGAACCGCTGTAGCAACTGTTCGCAGATGTTACCAGCAGGCGTTTAACCGCCTGCGCCACTGCTTCCCTATGAGGTTGGGAAAGACCTGAAGATTTGGGGTTGGAGCTGGGGGAGGGCAGGGTTTGGGGAGGGACCTCAACGTTACAATGCCATCATAGAGACCACTCTCTGAAGGGGCTGTCTCCTCCGGGGGAACCAATTTCTGTAGTCTGGAAGATCACTGGCCCCACCTGAAAGCTGGCAACCCTAGCAGTACAATATGTACCATAACCCATTTCCTTTGACAGGTGAAGAAAACACAAAGCATAAACCTTCTCAAATACTTGAGGAGGCCCTGGCATCTGACCCAACATGCTCTAATGAGGTCTGCTTCACACTGCCAATTTTGAAACAGGGAACATTAATTTAAATTACACGATGTCAGAGTGCATTAGCATAAATTAGCAGGGTGTGTTAAATATAAAAACTAAGTACAAAAATACAGATTGTGCATAAACAACTGTGTCCACCCATGTCAGAACAAGGGCACCTGGATTTATGGTGGGAAAGGAGTCAAAGGTGACCCTTGATTAAAACAAAAAGAAACCCGGTTAACATCCCCCCCCCCCGCAGTGGGTATACCACAGGTTTAGGTATTTTCTGCACTAGGGATGTTTGGGGGGTTTCCGTAGTGTTTACTGAACTCTGTAATCCTAGTCGTTTGCTTAACAGATGTCTCTTCATATTGTCAGTATCAATTTACACTGTGTACTCTGCTTTGAGTTTGGGAAGGATAGACTGTAAATATAACAAGTAAATAAATAATATAAAAGCTGCAGATCAAGGTTATTATGTGATTGGTACTTTGAATGACATCATGTCCAAAACAAAACAATGAAAAAGCTGTGTTTGTGCAACAGCAGGGGCCTATGCACACTTACACAGAGGCAAGGTCCAATTTAAAGGCACTGCAGATGGAGGAGAACTTACTGTATAACTCTGTACAAGCACAGCATCTTTTTTTAAAGTGAGGCCTCTGCAGCTATACATGCAACATTAGCATGCCAGAGATCCGTAGCCTGGTTGGGCACGCTCCCATTATGTACTTAGTCATCCAGTTTAAACAGGATGCTGGACTTCTGCAACTTCTTCTTGCCCAGCAGATTCCTGTTCCATTTGGGTCCCAGTCCCACTGCGGGCTAACTCCCACGATGCACTGTTTCAGCCTTCCAGTCAGATCCTAAATGGAGTTTATTATATGTCATCTCACAACAATTCTGTTCTCTAATGCATCTGGTAGACTGAGCCTCCACCCATGCAGGCATGCTTGTTTGTCAGAGACTCGTGCCTCTCAATGCATTGAGGGCCCTCCAAGTCATTTCTGATTTATGGTGCTCCAGAAAAGGTCTACCAGCACCCATGCTCTTACTGTCCAAATCACCACTTGCCAAAACTTGTGCGTATTTTAAGTCCTAGAGTCCCATAGGGCTATGTCTTTTAAGAGGCACTTGAGATCAACAGACCGGGGTAATTCTGCCATGCACCTGAGATGCTCTGGTTGTGCATCCCACTTGGGCCTGGAATACACAGGCAACCGAATGAGGCAAAACAGACAGTACCGCTTGAAAGCACCTATGACGGGGTTACCAGACATCCTCTTTTTAGAGGACACATCCTCTTTCTTTGGTGTCCATCCACTTTTGGGCACTTTTTACAAAAACTGATGAAAAAGTCCTCCCTTTGGTTTGAAAGTTAGGAATATTCCTAGTTCTTAGCAATTACCACATCTTAAATAGTAGGGGCACTTAAAATGACGTCTGCCATAGTGATCACTTGCTTGAAGCAGTCAGTAGCTAAACATGTCCTCTTTCTTGCTTTTCAAAATAGGGTAAACCGGCCTAACCTATGAGGGCAGCTGTAGTGAAAGGACTAACACAATCCTCGCAGGTAGAAAAGTAGCACAGCAAGATTATTGGGATAGAATGCCCTCTCCTTTACATAGATTCGGGTAGGTAGTCGGGTTGGTCAGAAGTAGAAGAATAAAGTTTGAGTGCAGCGGCACCTTTAAGACCCGGAGTTTTATTCAAAGTGTAAGCTTTTGTGTGCTAAACACACTTCTTCAGACAAAACTGGAATAAAATCTCAAAAGACAGTTACAGGGATAAAGAAGTGGTGGGGATGGGGGGGAAGCCGTTAGGAGAGGCCACTCAGAGCCCGGATGTTGCGGTTGCCAGCTCTGGGTTGGGAGATTTCGGGGGTGGAGCCTGAGGAAGGCGGGGTTTGGTGAGGGGAGGAACTTCAGTGGAGTACAATGCCATAGAGCAGTGGTGGCGAACCTATGGCACGGGTGCCACTCAGAGCCCTCTCTGTGGGCACATGTGCCATCGCCCAGCCAGGCCCAGACCATCATTAAAGTGTCGAATTCTCTGCCAAATAATTTTAAGTAAATGAAAGCATTTGGGATTGCTTTCCTTACTTTGTTTGGATCCTCTTAAGTTAATGTATGGGTTGTTGTCTTCTAAAGTAAAACCTCAGTATTCAGGTTAAATTGCCGTGTTGGCACTTTGCGGTAAATAAGTGGGTTTTGGGTCGCAGTTTGGGCACTTGGGTCTCTAAAAGATTCGCCATCACTGCCATACAGTATGCCATCCAAAGTGACCATTTTCTCCAGATGATCTCTGTCGCCTGGAGAGCAGTCATTCTACCAGATCTCCAGCCACCACCTGGAGGTTGGCACTCCTACCCGATGCATACGCAGAGCTGAAACTGGAACGGGTGGCCGGAAGGATCAATGGATGCCAGCAAATTACTCAAAAATACGTTGCGTGTATGTATTTGTAAAAACCAATAAAATGTTTAATTAAAAACAACAACAACAGAGAGGCGTGAGAATGAAATTGGGAGTCCAGCAGCACCCCCAAGGAAAACCAAGCTCAACCTCAACCCTGAACATAAGAGATGCCAATGTTGGATCAGGCCAAAGGCCCATCCAGTCCAACACTCTGTATCACACAGTGGCCAGAAAAACCAGTGCCATCAGGAGGTCCACCAGTGGGGCCAGGACACTAGAAGCCCTCCCACTGTTGACCCCCCCAAGCACCAAGAAGACAGAGCATCCCTTGCCCCAGAGTCCCTATCTATACCTTGTGGCTAATACCCACTGATGGACCTCTGCTCCATATGCTTATCTAATTCCCTTTTGAAGCCGTCCATGCTTGTAGCCGCCACCACTTCCTGTGGCAGTGAATTCCAAGTGTTAATCACTCTTTGGGTGAAGAAGTACTTCCTTTTATCCGTTCTAACCCGACCGCTCTGCAGTTTCATGGAGTGCCCACGAGTTCTTGTATTGTGAGAAAGGGAGAAAAGTACCTCTTTCTCTACCTGCTCTTTCCCATGCATAATCTTATAAACCTCGATCATGTCACCCCTCAGCCGTCGTTTCTCCAAGCTAAAGAGCCCCAAGCGCTTTAACCTTTCCTCATAGGGAAAGTGTTCCAACCCTTTTATCAACCCTGTGGACAGGCGAGAACAGACTCAGCACCTGCACACTTCTTTCACATACTTCTCTCCCTTACATGCTAGTTTTTTTAAAAATGTGTGTGTGGAAGGGGGGGGGTTGTTGTGTGCACAATTCCTTTCCACCCATTGCAACCACAAGCTGTGCCCTCCGCATCCAGCCTCCTGGGAGGACCGCCGCTGCTCCCGCCCCTCAGCCAACGTGCGGCGCTTGCAGGGCGTGGCTGAGCGCAGGAGGGAGCCGCAGAGGCTTCTGGGGGGGGAAGCAGGCTCTCGAGCAGGCCAGCGCGGACCAGCCCGCGGGTTGCGTCGCCCTCGCGCACGTTGCCCAGCGCGCTCAGCCGGCCGTACGGCGAACCCGAATACAATCTGTTCGTAGCAGCCCCCTATCAACTCCATCGCTGGGCCTTGAGGCGGAGCCGTCACCCTGTAGGGGGTCCTTCGGTCTCCTGATCCATGGCGGAGTCGTCATCTCCCCCCCCCCCTTAGCAGAGAAAGGGGTTTCCTTCGA